TAATCCCTAATCATTTTAAGTGCATGAATAATGATGCACAATAATGTCACCTACCAAAGTGAGTGCCAAATGTGATTTGTTCAAGCATTATTACTAAAAAACTTAAAGTATGAGGTGGTGGTTGAGTTAAATGGACATCACATACCGCTAACAACTACACAGTATCTGAGATACACCAACAGATCAAACAGAGATAGGTGTGTTTGTATGTGTTTTGGAAGAAGTATTCAGAAGTTTTACTGAAGTAATAAAAGCAATAAAACAGTGTAAAACTACAAGTAAAAGTCCTACATTCAAAATCTCCTTTCAGTCCAAAGTGCTGGCATTTAAATATACTTGAGGTACTGAAAGTAAAGTACTCTTTATCCAGGATTTTAGAATCATATGTTATGTTACTGGATTATAATCAGTATCATCAATGTGTACATCCATTTAATGTTGCTGCTGGTAAAAAAAAAAAAAAAAATGGAGCTAATTTCAGTTACTTTATATACTGCTGGGTAGTTTAATATATAATAACACACCATATTTTACTAGTTGACTTATAGTTTATATTAATAATTTAATCTACAAAGTAAAGTGGTTAATAAGAGTATGGAGTAAAAGCTACAATATTTCCCTCTAACCTGCAGTGGAGTAGAAGTAGAATAAAATGGAAATACTCAAGTGTAGTACAAGTACCTCAAAACTGTGGTAATGTACAGATACTATCACTTATTTACACTACGTCACTGGTTAGTACAATAAGTTCATAATGAAGTTATGTTCATAGGACTGTCGTTAGACGTATGGAGATTAACATAACAGTTGAAACTAAAGTCTGACACACTCCTGTTATCTGTAAACATACACTAAAGATGCTAACAGAGTTTGTTAGCTAACGTTAGCTCCTCCTCACCCTCCATCTCAGCCAGCGCCTCCAGCTCGTCGGCGAACTGGTCCTCGAAGTCGTCCTCTATCCCGAACATCTCGTCATACTCGTCCATGTCTGCTCGGACAGCGCCACGAAACAACCAGAGACACGGTGGTGTGTTTAATATAAAGACAAACAGGCTGCTCTCATTAATATTTCCTTCGCGACTTCAGCAGCCGCTTTGACAGAGCTGCAGATTTCCCGGCAATTTTTTGTTGTGAAGAATTACTTCCGGGTAAAGAGAGTCCACCGTATTCTGATTGGTTACAAAAACTTTCTCGAGTCCCATCATGCACCGCGGAGCCTGAGGGACGAAAACTCAGCGTTGTTCTTTTCGTGAGTTTGGCCTGAAGGTGGCGCCAGACTAAAGACCATGATCAAATCTTGATACAAAGGTATGTAATGATAACTTTACTGCTTAATATTATATATAAATCTCCTTTATTACACTTTTACAAGACACTTATACCATGTTATACTACTTGACTGTATTTATTGTTTATTTAGCCTTGAGCGTACTTCTCTGTAAGGTTCACTGTTGTAATCTCTCTGTTTTATTGGCTCTTAATTTGCATATTTATATGCTGTATTTGGATAAATATGATCAAGTTTCCAATTTGACTTTGAAATTGCCTGAATTAAATTATTGTCCCATTATTATCTTGGTTTGCGTTTGAAGTTAGAGTACTGACACCTGAGTAGATCTGATTAGATTTGATGCCATTGTCACTGAGTACGGGTACTAAGGCAGCAAAATGCAGTTTACCATCCAACCAGACATGCAAAAAGCAGGAAAGTGGGAGTATATACAGGATAAACAGTGATATATTAAGTAGAATAAACATGGATGCACTAGAGATACCCAGTATAATTAATAACAGACTCCATGGGCTTTAGTGACAAGTGTTTAATTGCAGCATAGACAATGTGCTTCTTACCAAATAAATGGCAATGGAGATGTGCATCCATAAATAACCTCATCATCACACAGAGTAACTGTACACTAAGAAATGTAATAGTCTGATTCTACTTGGAGATAAATTTACCGTAACATTTTGGCATAATCATATTATTTTAGGCCCACACTTTACACTGTTGATAAGTAAACTCATTATTTTTCTCAATCTGTGCACTACATATGTATGGGTTTTTTTACACTTAAATCTCAGCACATATTTTCCCAGTATGACAAGTGTAATGAATACACAAAAGCTTCCCAGATAATTCACAGGGATACTATACAGAATAAGGTGTTAAAATCTATCCTGTTCTGATGATACTTATGAAATAGTATATCAAATAACAAAAACTGGTGTATTTAGATGTGTTAGCTACATATCTTGCATTTGCCATGTACTAACATTTTTAAACATATGCGTATGGATTTACAAATTAAAACACAGGATGTTGGCAAGTGGCTCTTCTAAATGACTTACTATTGCTACATTACTTTAAATACAAGTGCCTGTAGTCTGATATATTTGCTCTTCCCATGCATAGTTATACTGCACATACTGCACAAATCTAACCTATAGAGTATACATATTTATACTACTGTCTATACTTGTACTTAAACCTGCACTTTAGTATTTTGTTAACAGCTGTTCATGCTCATCTTAGTGCATTCATGTCTACCCCTCACTGTTTATTCTACAGGCTATATTAAGACTATATGTCTGTTTCTCTGCAAGTTACTGCTTTTTGCACCGCTGGTTATTTGCTATTATTTGTTTTCTTGCACTTTGTGCCATGACAACAGCCTTCAGCTGGATCTGATCTAAAAATGCAAAGTGATTCTCATTAATTCTCTTTAACTTTATAATAAAAGTTTTTGCTACACACAAATCTTTATTCATCTTTAACTTTAACATTTTGCTCTGTGTGTGTGTGTGTGTGTGTGTGTGTGCGAGAGAGATTAATGATGATGTGTGTGACGTCAGGGCATCTCTATCGCCACCATCTGCTCCTCACAGCAGACAAACACTGGCCAGCAGTTTGTGTGTGACACTGAGTTAATTTCACATCAGGAAGCACAAACACAAAGTCAACCCAACTGTCTCTGTCTCTTCCTCTCGGACTTCATGTCCTCTCCTGTTGTCGCTCAGTGAAAAATGTCCAGATGTGTTGAGAGTAAAAAAAAAAGCTATTTCCGATTTTGAGAAAGCTCACACAACAAGGGGCAGACCAGGGAGTTAATGACATATTTAATCTTTTTACCATGATTTGATATTTTATTTTTAAAAATAGTTTGTTAAAGTTGGTTGTGGTATCATATCTGTTCATGTTTTTCTTGTGAACATTTACTCTCTATTTATTTATGTTTATTTCTATTCTTGCACTACTGCAACAACCAGATTTCCCCTCTAGTAATTGATAAACATTTTTCTTATCTTACCTTATTTTGAAAATACAATAGTAATGTTGTTATTTATACCAATGAAAACCTCTCCATCTGGAGAGATTTCTCCAAAATTGTTCTTTCAAATATTTTCAAGTGTTTCCCAAAGTTAAATCTCACTAATATTTTCTAAGTAGGGGTTGTTTTAATATGTTCAGTAAATAAAGAATGCAATGAAATCAGATTACATGATCAAATGTTCAATTTTTAAATTGAATGTTGTAACATTCATCAAAAAAATCCAAAGAATATATATCATATTGACTATTATGTAATAGATCTGTATTCCAAATCATTTGTTTCCCATCCACGAGTGGATTATGAGACAATGGGCCCCTGGGTTCAGATATGCAAAAGGCCCCACCACCTCTCCTACACTGGTGCAAGAAACACAGACTAGGTGCTGTTTTTCCTATTTTTTGTTGCTGTTTTGCATCACTTTGTCTTTTGTGTCTCTTTGTGATCATTGTAAGTCTCTTCCAGGTTGTGACATTTTGCAGGTGAAGGCCACGGGAGCCCCTCAGCCTGTGCCCAGTAGGCTTGTTCACTAATCCATCCATGTGTCCATCATCAGTTAAAAATGTAAAAACATGAATGAACTTATCCTATCTACAAAAAAAAGACTTTTTAAGATTACGTGTCATGGTTTTCAAATGTTGGCTGTCTCACTGGAGTAAAAACTTCTATACTGACTGACTGATTCTTTCCTACGAGTTACTGAAGGAAACTATTAACAGTTAACTGCTTGTAAACTGTTTCTCTCTCACACACTTTCTCTGACCCTACTTAGCACTTACCAGCAGATGTTTGTGTGTTTAGACACTAATGATTATAAACTTGTCATTGCCAATGATTGACCATCTGTGTGTGTGTGTGTGTGTGTGTGTGTGTGGGTGTGTGTCGGGTGGGTGTGTGTGCATCAGCGTGGACTCTGGTCCACATGAGCATCTGCTGTACTCCAGTAACTCCACTGCTCGCCCATACATGCACTCCATTATCCCCTAGCACAGCGTGTGTGTCAGCGCTGTGGGTGCCACATTAAGGTGATGTGTTTAATCATCAATTCAACCAGGGACTGCCCTCTTCACACATTCATGAAACACTCAACACTTTCAGCAACAGCGAGTTTGTGGTTCAGGCGAGAGGGGACTTTCACAAAGGGCTGGAGTGTGTGTTTGACTGTGTGTGTGTTAATGGTAGTAAGCTTTGTATATTTGTTGGGAGAGAAGTAAAAAGTGTCTGGTGGTTTGTAGTAGGGAGTTTAATATGTTCGTCTTGGTGTTTTGGGTGTTTGCAAAGTAGGTCTACAGTGTCAGATTATGAGAGGGAGCTGGTGAGAGTGGCTGCGCAGGTGTAAGGGTCTGATTCAGTAAGTTTATGTGTGTGTGTGTGAGGCTGTAAGGAAAGGGCAGTACAAGAGGTGTGTTTCTGGTGTATTTTCGTGTGTGTGGTTGTGAACACTGAGGATGTCTAACTCCACCATCAACTTCTACGCCCTGTCTCAGTCCTTCAGCTTCTCTGACATTATCGTCATAGTAACCTACTTTCTTCTCAACCTCGCTGTCGGCATCTGGGTGAGAGTCAGAAGTGTATTTGTGTGTGTGTGTGTGTGTGTGTGTATGCATGTTCAGTAAATGTGTGTTGTGGGTGCTGGTGTGAAACGGTTTTCTCTGTCAGTCATCATGCAGGGTGAGCAGGAATACTCTGAGCGGATATTTCCTGGCTGGACGGGACATGGCCTGGTGGCCGGTGAGTGTCTCATGATCTGCTCTGCAGCGTCTCTAACATGTTGATTTTGTGGATAAAGAGCAAAGAGAAGTTTGTGCTTCCTGTGATGGTGTGTTTTTGATCTGTAGTTGGATGAAGTTTTCCAATAAACTGATCTGTAAAAATCAGTGAGCTTGAATATGACTGTAAATAATGCTGTTTGGTACCTTGGGCAGACAGACTGCTAGTTTGTTGTGTTTGACAGACTCAGCCAAAAGACATAAATTCTGCATACATGAAATGTAATTTGTGGCTTCCACTTTATGCTACGTCAATACTTAAAGGCCTATTCCACCACATTTCAGGGAGAAATAATGTACATTTTACTCCATTACATGTATTTGATAGCTGGTTATTTTTCAGATTAAGATTTTACATTGAAAACTATATGATAAGCTTATAAAATACAACACTAATATATATTCATTCAACCTTTATTTTAACTTGGACATACATTGAGGTAGAGACCTCATTTACAATGCAGCCAAGTAAAACAATATAAAATAAAAGCACTCAGACACAGAGTAAAAAAACAAAGAGAAGCTTACATAAAAGTGGAGACAAGAAGTAACACACTGTTGAAGATTAATTTAGATGGTCCCAATCTTTCTTTGGTTGCTAACAGCTGACCAAAACTTCTCAGATGGCTTCATTTAAAAAACTGTTTGAAAACAAAAAAGAATTACCGACATATTAAAACAAATTTGTGGATCAGAATTTTGTTTTTTCCTTCTTTCCTGCCTCATTAATCATCTCATGACCCCTCATATCTATATTATGACCTTTTGTAGAAGGTCTGACCCCCTTGGTTGGGAAGCACTAGACCAAATTCTAAATGTTGTAGTTAAAACTACCTCCACCTTGACCAGCTACGACAGCAAAATGACGCTTATGTTTTGATGCATATAAAATATATTCACAATAAAATATAAAACAATACTTGCACAGAGTGCTTTTACTAATAACTTAACCTTTAATATTTAAGCTTGCTGCAGGACTTTTACTTGTAACAGAGTATTTTTATACCACCATATTGACACTATCTGAATACTTCTGCAATCTCTGATGTACTCAGATTGGAGCGTCTCTCTTTGCCAGCTCAGAAGGCTCAGGGTTGTTTATTGGTCTGGCTGGGACCGGAGCTGCTGGAGGCATCGCTGTCACTGGTTTTGAATGGAATGTGAGTACACACACACACACACACACACACACATCTGTCCAGTTAGAAAGACATTACAGATGCTGTTCTAATTAATCTATTAATAGTAACTAAACACACTGTAGTCTGGAATGAAGCAGAGCTTGCCTGCTAATCCATGCACGTGTTATTTCTTTTGTGGTTGGCAGTATTAATAGGACTGACTAGACAAACACAGTCTATGTGTGCAACAAAAACAACTTACAGCTACAATGACTAATCTCCCATTTGTACGTGAAAAGAAAACAAATGACATCAGCACTTTACTGCCTGTTTTATCTAATTATGTCTTTGAACATGTGCTAATTAAAGAATTAGTTTTGCAGTGTGTTTGTGTTTGATCTTCCTTTAGTGGCTGTTGCAAGCGGCCCTCTGCAGGGGGCAGCAGCAGAGCATTTTAAATACCAAGCTGGATTTCATAGTGTACAGTGTGCATGAGTCAGTCCACAGCAGTAGAGCAAAGGCTTGCACATGTTACAGCACCTAAAGGGTTAAAAGTTTTACCACAGTTTGACCAGAGAGGTTTTTACCCCCAGAGGCGACTGTTGTGGACGATCTGGTCAAACCTCTCTGTGCTCCCTCTGTCTCCTTTTCTTCTGTCTCTCAGGCCACCTATGTGTTGCTGGCTCTGGCCTGGGTATTTGTGCCTGTCTACATCTCCTCAGGGGTTAGTTTGCACACACACACACACTCATCACACACACACATGGATGCATGTCTGCTTGTTAAGGCTGGTTCAGCAGGTACATTTTGGTGCCAAGACACATTCTCCTTACTAACAATCCCCGCCTTGAAAATTCCCCAACAGGGTGTTACACCACACGCATGCACAGTTATTTTAAATCTAGGGGAAGTGTGAACACATCAAAGTTGTCTACAGTTACCAGAAGCTAATTGAAAGATCACACCGAGCCCTAAAAACCACCCACAGCTTCTTCAGTTTGCTTCTTGGTGTGTTGAAAATGTGTGTGTGTTCAGATTGTGACAATGCCGGAGTACCTGGGCCGCCGTTTTGGAGGAGAGAGGATCAGAACCTACCTGGCTGTCCTCTCACTGCTGCTGTCCGTCTTCACAAAGATATCAGTAAAGTCACACACAAAGAGGCAGCATCACACTCAGTATTTGACCGCACTGGCCTTTAACCATTTAACATTATCTGCTGTGAGACTGAATCTTTGTCGTGTTTCTGTCTCCAGACTGACCTCTACTCTGGAGCCTTGTTTGTTCAGGTGTGTCTGGGGTGGAACCTCTACCTGTCCACTGTCCTCATGCTGGTGGTCACTGCTCTCTACACCATTGCAGGTACACAAACAACCACACACACCTACACAGTTACATCCTGTAAAACTACTCTCGTGTTTTAGATACACTGGAAATATTCCCATAACACACACGTCTTTTCAGGCGGTCTTGCTGCCGTCATCTACACGGACACTCTACAGACATTCATCATGATTATAGGAGCAATCATCCTAACAATCACTGGTATGTACAATTATCAGCATTTATAAACAAGCACAACAACTGCACTTATTTTTAAGGATTGTGTAGTTGGAGTTGTGTGTTCTCGGTCCACAGCCTTCAATAAGATTGGTGGCTACAGTAACCTGGAGCGTGTGTACAGCATGGCCGTGCCCAGTAAGATCATCCCCAACAGTACCTGCCACTTGCCACGTCAGGACGCCATGCACCTGTTCAGAGATGCCGTCACCGGAGACCTGCCCTGGCCCGGCATGACTCTGGGGCTCACCATACTGGCCACCTGGTACTGGTGCACTGACCAGGTACATTTATACACAATCATGTGCATGTAAAGGCAAAAACACGTCTCATTTATCCGGTTGGATGCTAGGTACTTTCCAAACACATGGCATTGCCATCAGTCCTTTGCAACAGGGACTGAAAGTGAAACGGATCTATACTTTAACTGTCAGTCCTGGTTGCTGTTAATAAACATAGTCCTCAATGACTTCAGTTCATCGATCGTTTTTGTACTCTTTGTTCACAAGAGGTATGCAAGAAAAACAATGTTTTCTTCATGAATTCAACATTAGACAGGGCAACGAACTGAAATACAAATGGGCATTTGGGGTGAAGTATTTCATTAAAACCCCAAACCTCTTGAAATTAATCAGATAAATTAATAACATCCTTTTTTTTCTGGACATAGGTTTGTCTCCATCTTCTAACATGTGTTCTAGTGGCACGTTTGAAAATGATTTGTCCATTTAAAAAATGTAAAGGGAACCTTTTTTTCTTAGCTTTTTGGGGAGTTTTGGCAGTTTTTCTTCTTTTTGGGTTTGGTTTTATTGACCCACCATCTCAATTCCAATGGTCCGTTTATATGGCATATTTGGATAATAAAGTGAGCATGTGCAATATGACTGAGTACCCTTTGAAAAATTACGATATCAGTACCTGTGATACCAATACCAGTAGAGTATTTCATTTGATACCCATCATGTGAATAGAAGCATTCGGTTACGTAAAATGCCACCAGACACCACAGGCACTGGCATCTTGGCATGCTGAACTGCGAACTGCCAACTCCATCAAATACACTGCGCTCAACTTCACCACAACCAATATTTTTCTTTTCTAGATCTGGGTACAAAAAAAGGCAAATGCAGGAACTGACTGTGAAAACTTTAGATACGACTTGGTACTGTGTTATTCTGTTTAATAGCTTGAAGGTATCGAGTACCAATACTCAACCCTAACAAGCACTGTCTGTAAACGGCCCGTTGCATACAAAAACACTCAACTACAGTAAGTAGGGCTGGTCAAAGGTTAACAAGGAAGTTGCTGCAAAATGTAATCTGGTGTTTTCATTTATGTCTTTCTTCTCTCCCCTAATTAGGTATGGTAGAAAACTCCACGGCAGCTGCTTGACTGACATTACTGTTTTCAAGGGACTTTCAATCTCATTGTAAAATTTGTTTTGTCCGTCCTGCCTACCCTACAAGACTCCATTCTGCTAATGTGGCTGCATCCACAGATCTCGGCAAAAGCTCCACCCCGTTGCCCTGGTTTTGAGGATTTTATGCCAAACCAAAACTCCAGGCTTCAAAAATACCCAGAGAAACCTAAAATCTCTAAGCTATTTATATTTTTCTGCCAACTATGAGGCAAAGCAGACACATTTATAAAAAATACTGAAACTGATCAGTTGTGAGGGTGCAAATTCTGTAGGCTTCAGTTATGTACTTCACCTTTCCTTTGATAAACTTTGCTGAAACACTGAGATATAAACTGCTGCAGGATTCTTCAATCGACTTCTGATTTACCTGAACTGCTTGAGGGAACAACAGAGCTGGGTCAGCAAACATCTGTCTTTTTATTAACAACATTCACTTTTGGTCCCACATCAGTGTTTGAGATTTCATATATACCATCGACACCCTTACACCATCAGTAACCAATCACCAGAGCCTGACTCGCATATGAGTGAGGAGACACAATCGGCTGATCTGCATGTCACAGGTACAGTGCATGTGTGTAGGCTGGATACGGAAAAATAAAATTTTGTGTACAAAATTCAGAAAAACAAAAGCACATGAGGTAATTAAGAAATATTTGTTCAAAGGATTGTTTAAAAAACGGAAGTGCTCGAGTTGGCGGAGGAGACTATCACAGCTGACCGACAGCTGACTGGTTCATCTACAAAATACACTGTGCCTCTAGTAGAAATCTTAGCACAACTCCTGAAGGTATCTGTGCTAAAAAGAGTGAGTTCATCTCCTCCATATCAGTACCGTCCTCTGTAAGCTTTTAGCCGTCAAGCATTGGTTTGGAAAAGGATGTAACAAATTTACAGACAATACCTCTCAAAACACATCATCAAATTAAACTGCCAACTCTTATTGACATAGTTGAAAAATCCCAATTTAATTGTTGTTGTATATTGGGCCTCAGGGAACGAAAGCAGGAAATGACACACATGCCAGAAATAGAGAAGATTCCACACTGAAGAGTCACCACTTTCTTAGCAGAAAGTCCATATGTCATCACTCATCCTTGTGTACCTGTGCTGGCCCACAGTTCTACCTGTCAGCCTTGTTATTTTGAGATGCCTTCTTTTGTGGCCCTGCAGCTCGCGCCCGCAAGACTCTAAAATTGCTCAGTTTTGAGAAAGATACTCCTAGTAATCCAGAAGGGCTGGCTGGTGGTTGAGGCGAGGTGTGACCTCCTTTCCTGTAACCTGGGCTGTGGCGTCGTGGTGATCGGCCAGAGCGTGTCTCTACACGCAGCTGGGCTGAATCAGGCTGCAGCATTTGGCCCTGCCAGTAACGGTGTCCTCCAATCACAGGGGCAGCTGCTCGGGCAGGACGATGAAAACTTCCTGGTTTGGCGATGATTACTTTAGGTGCTCTCTGTCGTGGATCATGTGCTGGAGATTTTGAGGTCTGGAACAACTAGACAGAAAGAGGAAGCAGACAGAGATGAGTTGAGTTACACATAGCGTCTACTGTAAATCCTCCACTATCTAGTGGACTAGTTAAGTGGGCAACATCATTTATTTCTGTTGTCATTTACAGCTGTAACTGTGACGTTTAAGTATTTATAGTTAAACACAGTGGTCTGACCTATCTGATGTTCCTGCTGTGCTTATTTTATGTACTATGTTGTTTTGCGTCTTTGATTAACCAAATCTACTGCCATGGAAGCTACACAATGTACTGCTATGGACAGAGGCTGCAGCACAACGTATTTTACTGTTTACTGTTAATTTATTATGCTGATCTGTTCTGTACGACATCTATTGCACGTCTGTCTGTCCTGTAAGAGGGATCCCTCCTCAGTTGCTCTTCCTGAGGTTTCTACCGTTTTTTTCCCCCATTAAAGGGTTTTTTTTTGGGGGAGTTTTTCCTTATCCGCTGTGAGGGTCCAAAGGACAGAGGGATGTTGTATGCTGTAAAGCCCTGTGAGGCAAATTGTGATTTGTGATATTGGGCTTTATAAATAAAATTGATTGATTGCCTGATTGATTTTAGCCACAAAAAGACCTACCTAAAAATTTATGTCATATTCTACAGGTTAGAAAGAGAGGATGGAGAACAACACGTTATATGAGTGATTGTCAGAAAAAAAGAGCGTGCAGTGCTCTTACGAACAATTGGTCTATAATTGTTTTTGAATTTAAAACAAATATCTGTAACAACAGAACAAAAGCTCATAGGTAGTCAGTGCAATCTGCCATCTTTCTGTTTACTTCCGTTGTGAACTGTGTAACGCCCTCAGTTGATGACACATCCTTGATTACACTGGCTCTGATAAAAACTGGTGGAAACTGAAACGCAGGCTGGTTTGCTAGATAGCACCAAAGTTCTAAGAGTCCTGAATGTAACCGGTTCAAGAGCCAGAGCTAATTTGGTGGAAATGGGGTGTTAGTCATACCCCTTATAGGGAAAATTTCAGCGTGACTCTTGATAGTAATTAGAAGGTAACGTCTATGGGAATCGGTGCTAATGTTGGCAACCTAAGCTAACAAGCTTCCACTTTCTGTATAAAAACTAGTTCGCCCAAATGTAACAACATAACTGGCTCTCCAAAATGGCACATTACTGATGCTGTGTGGGCTTGTTGAAAAATAGGGGAAATGGCAACAGGGCCATGACCACGAAAAGGTCCAAAAATAGTTTTATACTCTTTTGAAATATGGAAAAATGTTCACAAAAGCTGCAGTATCATCATAGTTTAGATCTGTTTACACAATGCAGGGAATTCATACTTTAACTCTACTAATTTTGATCACCTCCTGAAATCTCCAGTATTCTTCTTTTCTATTTTAAAAGCATTGAAACTGTAGTCCTTGCTTTAATCACATCCTACAACCTCAAAATGAATACAACCTATTTAAGCACTGCCTGTAAAGCACCTTTTTAGTGGTTGCCTGTGCATTTTAAAGTCGATTTTAACCTGCTAAATCCCTCTCCAAAAACACAATACTTTTCTTAAATTGTTTTTATTATGTGCTTTTAGTGTTTTTGTTTGTTTTGATTAAATTGCTGTTTATATCTGAGTATATTTCACTGTAATATACATTTCCTGTTCTTCTTCTTATGTATTTTGAAAAGTGCTACATAAATAAAGTTAACTCTTATTGCTGTTGTTTTTCGTCTGTATGTTCAGGTGATTGTACAACGGTCCCTGTCTGCTAAGAACATGAGTCATGTTAAAGGCGCATCAATCCTGGCTGCCTATCTGAAGATGCTGCCTTTCATCTTCATCATCCTCCCTGGCATGATCAGCCGAGCTCTCTATCCAGGTGCATGCACGCACATGTGGGCGGACAATCGGTGGAAACACACACACCTTTTTAATTTGGAAAAAGGAATGACATGTTTACTGTAAGCAGGTAGCAGCTTGCCTTGACACCCCTGGTGAGATACACCCATTTTCAATGTGATTTATATAAATGCGTGCGTGCGTGCATACGTGCATGTGTGAGAAAGAGAGAGTGTTTGTGTCTTTCCTGTAATGACGTAACTGTGTCCTTGTTCTCAACAAGCTTTATTCCTGGAAACCTCTGCACTTACTTTTGTAGTGATTACTTTATATTAAGAGGGATTTTAAAGGATTAAGACAAGCATTGTGTTAGCACCTACTTGTTAGTGTTAGTTATCTAGGGCTGCAACTAACAATTATTTCCATTAACAAATAATTTATTGATTCTTTTTACCCAACATGATTTCCCAAAGCCCATGATTATGTCTTCATAGTGCTCATTTTGTCCCAGAAGATGAAAATGACTTTTTTTAAGAGAGTGATTTTTGACTGACAGATCATTTCTATCTGGCAATTGACTATAATTTCACCTCTATAATTAACTTTCCCTTGTCGTTATCAATGAATCTGTTATATTTTCAATTCAACCTAATTGTTCATTCAGTGTCAAACATGAGAAAACTATGAAAAATGCCTATCACAATTTCCTAGACCCAGGTTGTTTCGGATCAACAGTCCAAAATCCAAATGCACTGTTATTAATTAGAAAAAGTAGCAAAATCTGACATTTAACAACCTCTAACTAGCAAATAAATTGCATTTTTATGACTCAAAATGACTTAAGTACACATCTCTGGCAATAAATTATCTGTCAGCTGACTGAGCAATTGACTAATTGTTTCAATATCACAGGATTAGAAATACTGATGCTACTGGGTGCTCACCTGTCCTATGTGCCTATGCGGTGAGGGGTTCCCCTGTCTGCGGAGCTGCTGTGATTGGCGGATGAGGGCAGTGCTGTCCTCTGACGGTATGGGCTCCCGCAGATCCAGCATGCTCTGGGAGAAGCGGGCCATCATGTTGAACCCGTCTCCATGGCGCTGCCCGCGCCCTGACCCTGACGACACTCCATTGGCCAGGGGGTCACTCTGCTGTGGCTGGGGACATTCATAGAACTCCTCCTCTGATGCAGTGGAGTTACTTGAGGGATTGTCATTTTGTGCTCGGTCGCACATGACCTTGGTGCTGTCTTGGCTGCCCTCACCGGTGCTGCCAGAGTCTCCGCCGTCGTCCTTTGATATTAGACGGCCACGGACTAGTCTCGGCTCCTTCTGGGTTTCTTTTTCACTGAAGCCATCTAGACTTTCCAATTGGTCCATTTTCATCAGAGTGACCTGTGGTTGGCCAGGCTCCTCTGGGGAGGCGGGGTCTATGATTAACTGTAGTGTGCGGCGTTTAGGAACAGGAGGTGCTGCAGTTTGAGTCTCTGGAGTTTGTTTAGCATTGTCTGTTGGCTGTGAATCAGCGGGAACATTGGATGGAGATGGTGTGTTTGGTTTGTGTGTGTCTTGTGTTACAGGTGTGTTGGGCTGCTGAGGGGGCCCTCTGGAATCTGTCGCATCCGTTTGGTCTTTATTCGGAGCTGTGTGTGTTTGCTCTTTGAGCTGTTTGTTGGTTGGACTCACAGGAGTAGAGGCTTTTGCACCTGTACTCTCAGAAGGATTTTCTGCTACCACTGCAGTTTTTGCAACCTGACCTGAAGCCTGTTCCTCTTTCTGTGGTGGCAGCATCAAAGGTGCGCTGAAGCGTATAGCCTGGCTGACCTCAAACCTCTCCGACCTCTGTAAGTGAACCTGGTGGGCTCTCTTTTCGTCCCTGATGTTGATAAAGCCAATCACATCACTTGGTGGGTCTGGTTCTGGCCAGATGGGCAGGTACGGGATCAGGTTCGCTTTCTCCAAATGCGCTAATCCCGGATGTAAGGGTGGCTCTTCGATGACATGCCTAAGACGTGCTTTCATGAACTTGAGCCCAGTGGGATTCTGGGAGTTCTTGTTGCTGGAATTTTGGTCAGAAGAAGTGGCACTTGCGTGAGTCCCCGTGGCAACGAGGGCATATTTTGGATTGATGAGCTTCCGAGCAACAGCAGCTGACACTGGAGCAGGAGCTGCCTGAGGGACCGGGTCAGGGATTGGTTCATCTGCCATGGGGACCTTGCTGAGAGACACACCTCTGGACATGAGGTAAAGGTCACGAAACTGCAGATCAAAGGTCTCCACCGCCTGTCCTGTGATCACAGTGATGAGGTTACGGTCCAAACGAGATGAGGACCAGGTGAAGCTGGAATGACACAGACATGGAAACATAAATTCTCAGCTGTGACTCCCTTATATGGAGCTCATCTGACAAATGCTCGGATTTCAAGCAATTTTTAAACTAAATTCATGCCAGTTCATGTTTATCACATCTACACTCTTTCTTCTATGCCACAACTCCTGCTGAGAGAACTCAACTTTACAGTCACAGTTAATCATTACACTAAACACTTGTACTCTGAGGTCATGCATCACATTATGCTCTTTGACTGCATAATTTCTGAACGCGTATCTTCACCTTTCAGTCTCTGAGATCATACAGATGTAATGGTAAATAGATAACTAACGACAATAAAACTAAGTCTGTGTGTGTTGAGGTGAGGGTTTATAGTTGTCTAAGATCTGCATAGTTTACAAAAGTTAGCACTGTCTGTTAAAGCTCTGTGTAAACAACAGTCTGCATGCTGCAACAATGTCAATACAGGAACATGACAAAGAAAAAAAAACAGTAATTATAGCATATTTCAAATTATTTTAAGGGCATTTGACAATATTGTTGAAAATTGATGCCGTCACTTTGTTGCTTTCAGTCTATTCATATTAGTGTTCCAATTGTTATGGTACTTGAGTTAGCAGACAGCTGCTTATTGACATATCCAGCAGACGTGAAGCAACATTAGCATTCATTTGGAGTTGAGTTTTGGCAACCCAACAAATGTTCTCTCTGCTGCTAAATTTGTCTGTCTGCTGTTTGGTGCTGAGCAGGGTGTGTAACTGTGGGCTTTTAGTGGGTTTTTTGCTGAAATCAGCTGATGCTGTGGCTGGAAACTGGGTGAGAGAGCAGAGACTGAACCAAAACAGTAAAGTTGCAACCAGAAAACCAAACCGAAGATATCATGATTCTCCAGAGCAAAGTGGAACTGCAGAGTATGGTCATCATTTTATGTAGGTGTGTCTCATATACCCTTTTCCACCAAAAAGAGTGTGCATGCAGGTTTGTTAAACATGGGAAATCCTGATAAAAATAGGAACAGACTGCTGTCCCATTGCCAGTAGACCAGAGCAGTGTACACAGCTCTGCAAGTGACGAGCAAGCCTTTCTGTTGTGTCAAGCTCAGTGTCCAAACTGGCTGGAAGACAGGTTAATAAGCAGCAGAAAGCAGCATGGAGGCCAGTGAAAATTTCCTTTTTTTATCTCGTACTTATTCAGTCTCTCTCAGACTCCATGCAGACTAAATTTTGAACAATATTCGAGCTCTGCTTGGACGGAGACTGACTGGATTTTGTGGCAGCCTGTTTGCCATTGTGTCAGCGAAGCGACTAAAATTAGCGCATCCACCCGGGTGCAGTATTTCTAATACTGCTGATTGGAGCCAATCAGAAGCAGAGCTGTTAAACACCAGTGACTATTGCAGAGTCATTTGTCCTGGGAGTGAATGCTGACTGTGACCCTTCCCATTAGATACAAAAGACAGACGTCAGCGGGTGTTACTGGGTTTCTTATCCACTGGGAAAGGGGTTTGGTGTGACCCCTTTCACATGTCACCGAGTTATTTAATCTTTGTTAATGTTAACATATTGATAAGAGAACCTTTAAATACACTCAGTTCATTCTGCTCACCTGTATGAACCAGAGATGGCTCTGTCTCCATCTACCAAGAGGAACTTCTGGCTCAGTGCTCCGTGCACCTTCTGTGCTGACCGTGTGAAGAACTCTACACCACCAGCGCAGCGCACACGTAGATTCTGCACACACAAACCCACACATACAGTATACAGAGGGTTAATGCAATGTAAAGTAAGTCTCTTGTGGATTTAGTGCTGATGGGAGGAGGGGTTTGGGTGAACAAAGGGGAAACAAGGGCAGAAAAGAATGAGTTTTGTTGTTGCTCAACTACAGCTCTTCTCTATTAATACCACCATAAAATCGGGTTGGCTGACTCTACAGGTTAGAGCATGAATATCTATGTATGCGCATGCTTGTGCGACACACCCTGCGGTGTTTGTCTTTGGCCCTGTGATAAGGGTGTGGTTCCTGGCTAAGCGTTACCTCGTAAGTAAATGTACTGTGTGAAATCTCACATGGGACACCAAGCACAGAAGTCGTAAATGATCATAATAACGGCGGAGATGGCACATAAGAAAGAGGCTGAAAGAGAGGGGAGGTCTGGTGGTTAACACTGTGAGGAAGAGAGAAGGAGAAATGAAAGAGAAACATTTACAGAAAGTAAAGTGAGAGTGTGCATGGTTTATGTAATTGTCTGCCGCACAGAAAGGAATGTGCATAGTGTCTTTCTGGTCCAACACATTTAGAAGAGCCCCCATGCAACATTAAGTGTTTGCTGCTACTGCCTACACCAGTTCAACTCAGAGAGGCAGAGAATAACAAAGACTTGAAGCCTATGGCAAAACTACTAGCTGGTGCAGGCACCTTATCAAAGCCTGCAGGCAAAAACCTGTTTCACTTGCGTCAATCATGCTCCCTACTTTCAGATATTTCCCTTGTATAGTAATAGACTTATGATTGGAAAGTGTGTCTTTAATGAAACTCATATGATTTGAAATTTTGGAACTGGAGCTTTTTAATAAGCAGGCTTCTATTATTGTATGCTTATCAAAGGGAGCCATCTATCCAATGAGCTCATCTCCCAGCTTATCTAAACATCATCTGGGTGTGTGTTTGTGTGCGTGCATACCTTTAGGTGTCCACGGTGCATATCAGCTCTGCCACACATGGAAAGAAAGCAGGGGACTGCAGCCGTGTCAATGATGATGTATACAGGAACTCTGCGTTTGTAGGCTGCATCCAGCAAGTCTCGAAAGATATCCACATCTGTAAACACATCCATCACCACGGCTATCACCTAAACACACGCACATACAAAAACACACAGAGGAAACCACACACAACATTAGTATTTCCTGGTCTGTGAGGGTGGGTTTGATTTAACAATCTAAAACCCATTAAATCCTCAAAGGAAGCTGGGGCACTTATGAGAGCTACATCTAAAAAGTCAATTAAACCCTCAGACACAAAGAAATGTCTGACCATAGAGAGACTGCTAGAAACAATGAGCGCTTTGCAGAGTGGCGATAGAGTGTGAAGTGTCTGGGCTGTGTGTGTTCTGGTGACAGCATGGTGCTCTTCACACAGCACTGTCTGTTCACTTTTCACCTGACCCACTTTTTTAATTTAAAACTTGGTAGAGACTTATCCCAAAGACAAACAAAATAACGAATAAGCTGATCAAGATCATAACTTGAGGTTAGAATATGTTATTCAGATCAACTTGTGATGATAGTTGAGTGTGATGAAACATGGTCTTGTCACACTACAAGGCAAAAAGAAGCCAACTTGTGATAAAAAGCAGAAGAATTAAAAATAAGACTAACCATACAAACCCTACATAGGGAGCAGTTGTTGTCAGCTGAGTTCTGCTGAACAGCAGCTTTGTGGAAAAGTTATTGGCAGAGTGCCTTTCAAGCAGTGAAAAAGTATTCAACTCTGGAACTGAATCAAATTAATTCAAGTATTTTGTTGTCCCGAGGAAACTTCTATATGTACGTGTGACAGATTTATGTAGGCTCATACGAGGTAAAGGTATACGGTGATGGCATGAAACTTTCACTGACGTCAGGGCTTTTTTTTTCCACTGTCGTGTCAAGATCAGACTTGTTTTGCTCAAACCTTGTTGTGTGCATGTGTGAGTGTGTCACACCATGTGAGAGATGAAGGGACAGGGAAGAAGGTTTTGTAAGACAAGACAGAGGCAAATAATGACATTTAAATTAGAGAGACGTTGGATTAAATTAAGTCCAAAAAAGCCCATGTCAGATTGTTTTTGAGGATATGATTTAGCTTTGTGTACAACTGCATAACTGTCAGCAGTGGAGAAAACAGCAAAGGAAGTCAAACGTCTGATCAAAACAATCGTTCTTATAGGAATACTTCAACCACAAAGGTCTCATGAATCCAATCCTATGCTCAGCACCTTCCACACACATGCATTTTCAATATGAAACTTTAGTACTGGAGTCTAAAGTCTTAAAGCTTCATTTTTAGTTTAATTTTATAGAATAAGATTTTAGCGAAAATGCAAGTTTTTGTGACATACTGAGCATACAACTAGAGAAATGAGACTTGGATTATTCTGCGCAAGTTGTGTGAGAGTTTGTAACTGGATGTTTTGAAGTTGGTCCCCAGTCAGTCAATAAATCATTATGCTCGCCAGGCATGCAGAAAAAAAAATCATTTTCTTCTTGACTTCAAGGTAACATGGAGTGACTAACTGATTTACAAATGGTCATTTTGTAGTTGAAGTATTCCTTTAATCTGTCATGTTAACAAAAACACCTCACAATGCAATGCAACTGAACACAATCCAAGCTGCAACTATAACTAAAAGTGATTGTTTTCATTGATAATTTGTCGGCCCATTATTTTCTTCATTCATCAGTCAGTTCAAATGCCAAAGATATGCGGTCTACTGTCAAATATTACAGAGAAAACTGCAAAAAAGACATGGGAGAAACTACAACCAAAGAGTACTTGGCTTTTTTTGGATGAAAAACAATGGATACAGTAATCAAAATAGTTGCAGATTAATCCTGCCAATCGACTAATTGAATAATCAACTAATCGTGTCGGCAGTAAACTCAAAATCTCTTGTACCCTTGTGAAGCTTATAAACTTCTTGTCTTTACTGTGTGGAACAAGCACTCCTTTGTGCATTGTGAGGATGTGGTGGAATTCACAAATGGAGGAGCCAGATATAAACACCCTAAAACCAAATGTAATCCTATACAACAACACAAGTGTGTTCTCAAAAGTGTAGGTAACACAAAGATAGCGAGCTATTCATTACAGGCTGTTGTATTGGATTACATTACAGTGTTCAGTTATTAATAATTGCATTATAACACCATCATCATCATCCTCTTCACTGCCTACCCTCTGTGCTGATGCAATGCTCTTCCGCACCACCTCCTTGATGTGCGTTTGCCCTTCGGTTGGTGGCTGCGTGTACACTGTCACGCGTGTGACCCCTCGGTATGAAATGGCCTCGGGCCAGCCGAGATCCAGCTCTGCCACTGAGGCCTCAGACCGATCAGGCCAGTACTGGAGGGACACCTCACCGTCTCCCAGATCCTCCCCGGACCCCGGGGTCAGGTTCCCCGGCCCTGGGGTGAGGTTCCCCGGCCCCGGGGTCTCTGGCTTCTGGTGATGCTCGTGCCCAGGCCGGTAGGCCTCCACTGTCTCTGCAATCCGATTCAACTCCTGTTCCGAGAGGAACTCCCGGACGCCACTCTTGTGGATGTAGTCCTTGAACGCATCGCGGCCCTTGGTGACAAGCTCCTCGAGCGCCAGCCGTTGGTCCTCACTGTAGAAAAACTCCGGTTTGCTCTCGCTCACGCGCCAGTTGACGTGGTGGTTGTCCAGACACTGGACCTGAGACAGCGCCATGACCTCGATATATCCACCGGTCAGTAAACAGTTAAGTACCGAAACCACTCTGACCCAGTTTCCAGTCGTCGGTCCAAAGGGTCAAACCTCGAAAGAGTGCGATCTGTCATTACGGTCCATATCGTGTCCGCGTGACGTGGGCTCGCGTGGTGGTAAACAGATCCCTCCGGTGGGTGAAGATTTTCACCTGAGTGAAATAAACCGCAAGAACAGTTCCTCAACACGGACTCTGAGCTCTCAGGTTACTCCACAAACACACTGTCATTCAGGTGTTGATGAACAAAGCACCTCCGCCCCGCGCCACGCCTTCACCTGACAGGGGCCGGACAACTGCAGGGGCGACCCGGTTCAGCTGCTCCAGCAGCGGGGCTCGGCAGACATGGAGGCAGGCAGCCGCCTGGGTGGATGAGTGTCTGTCTGCCAATGAGTCAAACTAAAGCGGAACACCTTCCTGAGATAGAGAAACAACTCATTAATCCTCCCTTTTAGAAGTGTTGAAACCGTCCGTGACTCAAGCTCGCTGCTGTGCTGACGAGTCACTTTCTTCTTTTCTCTCGGAGCGTCTAGCCGACACGGTTCACAGCTGTTAGAAACACAAAAATGGCAACTGTTGAGTTCCCCGGAGCACAAAAAGTCGTTTGTATCCTCAACGTGACGTGTACGCGTCTCTTTCACTGGGTCCGAGTCCACGTCGGTTTATCTCGCCTTATTTTCCTTATAAACGCCCCTCCAGACAGAAAGTTCACCGGGGTCCAGTGAACAGTGTGGAGCTGCCGGTGCGTGACTGACCCTGGAATCCGGCAACGGAAGCTCTGTCACCGGGGGCAGAAAGGCGGAGTGTCCGGTAGTTAGGAAAGAGAGGCTGTTAACTCCACCCTCCTGCCCGGACGGAAATCTTGTTTTTCATCCCAAAACTGAACCCTTACAGACATTGTAGCTATGGCACACTATAGGGACCCCTTTTTAATTCATTTGCTGTATTATAATGGACTAAGACTAGTATACATTTCACTAGTTATAGACTTACTTGTATTAGACCAGTTCACGTAATAATAAAACAATTCAAAGAACAATAACACTAAGACAGTGAATGTTAGTTGGGCCAATTCCTATTTAGGTAATACAGTGTAGATACCAAACTTATTGCTAACCATGTGATTGCTGGTTAGTGATGTGTCACTGTACAGTCTGCTGGAAGTTTAGTGATAAAGTATTTTGAGAAGTTACTCATGGATGTCTGGATCAGGGTTAATAGGATAAAAGTGAGGTCAGGTTTAGGGTTGCATAGATAGAGGTGCACCAAACACACAGGTGAGCCTTGAGTCTAATTTATCACCTAACAAATAGGTAAACGATTTAAGAAATATAGCCAACTAAATTTAAAATTAACATCTTTTGACAGAGCATTACTGATGGATATTTGTCTTTCTAAATCTGATGTCCCATGCAAAATGTGTGTTATTGTGTTACAGAGCAGGGTGTGTTTCATTTAAGTGTTCATAGTTGTGCACACCTGCATGGGGATTTTATACATGCACATATTAACTCACTGTGCTACAAGAAGGGGTGAAGTTACTAATGTAACCACAGTTACTGCACACATGATATTTTTGGGTTGTTTTTATTACTTAAGTAACTGTGTTATTTATTAATGGGTACATTATTTATATTCAAGTAGTAATCCAGAACTCTGCTGCTTGGCTACTTCACCTCCGTTCTCCATAAGCTTCACTGGCTCCCCATCCCCCAGAAAATCCACTTCAAAATCCTCCTCATAACACACAAAGCCCTCAATAACCAGACACCACCGTACCTGTCTGAGCTCCTCCATCATCACACTCCCACCCACACATTTCGCTCTGCCAATGCCAACCTCCTATCCCCACCGCACCTGAACGAAGCACAAATCCTTGGGGGGACAGAGCCTTCTCCATCGCTGCTCCCACCCTCTGGAACTCTCTCCCCAAACCCATCCGAGTCCCCCTCTCTCTCCATATTCAAAAAATCATGACTCACCACTCACCTGTTCAACATTGCTTACAATCACAGACAGTTTCTTCTCCTCATGCCTTATTTGTTCTCTTGCTTGTCTGTTTTTGTTTTGTTTTGTCCCTGAATTTGTAAAGCGTCTTTGAGTGCCTTGGAAAGTGCTATATAAGTATAATGTATTAGTAGTAGTAGTAGTAGTAATAGATCCAGCATTAAGTTGCTGGTAAATTATTACATCATTGTCATTTATAGTTCTTTTTTTTTGGTTTCATTTCTATTTTTGCATGTGGTGTTTAAGTGGAGTCAGTGTGTTCCCTTGGTTCTGAGCTGATTGGTTCCTACCTGCCCTTGTTGTGAAGTCACTGTACCCATTAGCTGGGATGTGTCAGTATTGTCTTACCATGTTGGTAATAATTAAACGAAGAGGAAGAAACAAATGTTGTAGCCTGCTTATTCCCCACAGCCTGGAAGAACTGGGGAACACCAATAATCAAAAAAAGAGGGTTACAGTAATGACTGTAACTCCAGTGGGATTTTGCCTTATTATATTTGCTACCTTTTTGGAGGGATATGTTGTCATTTCCTTCATCATAATCAAAATCATTCAGCACAAATTTGGTCATCTGTTGCATGATAGAATTAAAGCACAAATTCTGCATGAGTATTTTCCGGTCTTGTGTGTGAATGACCTGTGTCTCCATATTTCAGACTCTGTAGGATGTGTGGATCCAGAAGAGTGTGTGCGAGTGTGTGGAGCTGAGGTGGGATGCTCCAACATCGCCTTTCCCAAACTGGTCATTGAACTCATGCCCAGTGGTGAGAATACTGTTATGTGTTAACTGCTTTGATAAGCTTTTTGTGCATCTTATTTTAACCTGCGTGCATGAGTTCATCTGTATGTTGTATTACAGGCTTGCGTGGACTCATGATAGCAGTGATGATGGCTGCTCTGATGTCATCGTTGACCTCCATCTTTAACAGCAGCTCCACACTCTTCACCATGGACATCTGGAAGAAGCATCGCCCCCGGGCCTCGGAGAGGGAGCTGCTACTGGTAGGCAGGTATGACGCTCACAGATGGATGGTCTGTGGTCAGAAAACATCTGATCATGCTGTGGTGTGGAAGGAGAACTTTTTATTCCGGGATCAATTAAGAGAAGAGAAGCTTAAAGTCAAAGAGATGTGTTTGTTTCAGGATTGTGACTGTGATCTTGGTGGTGGTGAGTGTGGTGTGGATCCCCATCCTGCAGTCGGCCAACAGTGGCCAGCTGTATGTTTACATCCAGTCAGTGACGAGCTACCTCGCTCCACCCGTCACTGCTGTCTTCACCCTGGCAGTCTTCTGGAAGAGGACCAACGAGCAGGTAACATGCACACACAAGCTTTTAAATTAATCTATGAATAGCTTTGCCTGTAAAATATTAAAAACTACATCCACTAAAAGTTCCCACAGTTCAATGGGATGTCTTGGAATTGCTTATTTTGTGTAATGAACTGTCCAAAACCATTTTTTTTCTCGAATTTACACTGATATGACAAAGGACAAGGCAGTAATTCTTCATATTTGTGAGACTGGGACCAGATAAAGTTGGCATTTTTGCTTTAATAAATGTCTTAACAACATCAACAGAATTTGACAATCAATTTTCAATTTTCTTCTGTAGAGTAATCCATTAGTCGACTAATCATTACAACACTGATTACAAGTACACCTGTAAAATTAAAGAGTTAAATGTAATTTAAAGAACACTTTTGGGAGTCTTGCCACGTTACAAATATAACCAAACTTAATTCACAACGTACTCCGTTCTGGACACCACACTACTCACCAGAATATACTGAGTTTTGAGGTTTCCCTGCACTGTTTGTCCCTTCTCCCACACTGTACTGCTGTACAGTTTTATGAGCCTCACATGAGCTCCAGCTGCCAACATGTCTCACTGCTCGGTGTGGAGCGTACATGAAGGTCTTTGTGTTCCTCGCTCATTTCATGAAGTGAATTGTTTATTAGTTCCTCAGTGGGAACCAGCAGGATCGTGCTGCTCCTTCACTTGAATAATTGAAAGTGTTCCTGGCTGATAACAGAGTGCAAGTGAGGGAAGGTGTGATGATTAGAAGATAAGGATTAGCAGAGGGAGGTAAAGGAGATAACAGCAACAATGTGTGTCAGCCGAGAGCCAACAACACACATGCTGAAACATCTTTCGATTGCAAGTAAAGACCAGTCCACTGGATAGTCAGGATTGGATTTGTGTTTGAACAGAGCACGTCCTGGGTGTGTCTGCTCTCTGTGGACATGCTGTTTAACCTCTTTAATAAAAAGGAATCTTTCAGGTTTTTCAGAGTGAAAGGATTCCCTCTTTATTGTGATGTAGAAACCACCTTTTTTTCCAACTCTGAATGAAGCTACATAAAGACTACTTTCATTTACTTTCATGACAAAGTGTTTACAATAAAGTGGCCTGGGGTAACATTACATCATGGGTTGGCAACACCCAGCAAACACTGAGTTGGTAATTTGCCTGTTGAACAAACAGGTACGAACAAACAACAGTTTTTTACTTGCTGCTATATGGATGGCAACGTCAGTCTGTCAGTTGGTTGGTCTACCACTTTGGTCCTAACTAAAATATCTCAACAAATATTTTCTCGATTGCCAAGAAATTTTGTGCAGACTTTAATGTTCCCCCGAGGATAAATTCTACTGACTTCAGTGATCCTCTGACTTTTCCTCTAGTGCCACCAGGAGGTCTGTTTTTTACCAAATACATGCATAGCATAGCCATAACTGTACTTTGTGTAATGTGCTAATTAGCAAATATTAGCATGTTAACACACTAAGCTAAGATGCTGAGCACAGTAAACATTAAAATTAGCATAAGAGTGTTAGCTCAGAGCACTACTGTACAGTACAGTCTGACAGAGCAGCTGGCACAGCTGTAGCCCAGGGTTTGGGAACCTTTACTATTAAAAGAGACAAAAACAAACAAGCAAAAGCTTTAATAGCTGTCTGGAGCCACAAAAGATATTTGGGCCTCATAATGAAGGTAACAGGCAATTAAGTCTAAATTAGCCTATCAATATTTCTAATAGATCTAGGCTAAACGAACATTCATTAATATGTTTTACCACGGGTTGGCTACTCTCAGTCAATTATTTATGATCATTTGGTTCTAAAATTTTGTAGCATTAAAGCAAATTAATCTGTCCATGCACTATTATATTCTCTATTTTCCTTCCTTAAATTTGGTATCCATTGTCAGTCTACCTAGGGAGAGACTAGCAAACGCTATTGAGGTTCAAGCAAAAATTCAAGTTCTTTTAGTTCACAGAATGTTTTTCTCGTTCAGTGTATAGACTATACATTATACAACTGGAGAATTTAGACTTACTTTAGGCCTACTACTGTAGATATTAACATTGGTCATGGACTTTCCACATCCACATACGACATGCAAGGTACCCTGGGTGCTTTGGCGCTGGTCAACTATAACGGCAACTGGTCGCGTATCATGACGACGTTAAAAGACGCCTTTTTTTTGGGGGGTTTCTGATACTGCATATCACTGCACAAGCGCCGGATTTCGACGAATTCAGAGTGAGACCAGGCTCTACTGTTATTAGTTAGTTAGTAAGTTATCCAAATGCCTCAAAGCTTCAAAGTTGTAATCATCGCCATGTTAATCAACATCCAAATCAGTATTCAAGTGCTTTGTTGTTTTGTATCTGGGTTTTTTTTCCACCAGTAAACTGGTGGAGGAAATTGAAAGCAATTGTCAGACAAGACTGAGGCCGGTGTCCTCAGTACAGTCATTGACCCTTACTTGAAGCTGTTAAATTGGCTGTCTGACGAGGAAAAGGAACAGGTGACAGGAAATGCAGACTGTTATCCTTGTCTAGCTGTTGTTTTGCATCTAATGATGTGGCCTGACCTGTGGGGTTCAGAGTTATTAATATGTTGCAGAAACATTGCGTGCAATAGCCCACCTTCCACATCTCTTCCTTGTGTCTATCACTCTCTTTGTCACACACACTCAGTGGCACTAAGTCCAGCCAAATTAGGTTTGGGTTTGGGTGGTCACGCCGTGTACCGTTGATGGTTTGTATATTTGCTAGTAATTATGACTGAAGCTTTGAAGTCCCAAAAATGGTATTTGTCATAGCCACAGGGAGCTGAAGAGGACTAAAGACCTACATGCAGCCCTGGAACTACAGGTTGCCTAGCCCTGCTTTAGCTTCTTACACCCTGTTTTAGCAACACAACAACACATTAAAATATGGTCACTAGTATGCAGTCGAAACCCTTATGTTAAAAAACTTCCATATTCATACCAACTTGAGCACAGTTTAATTCTGTATTAATTCCCTGTATTCTGTATTCTGTATTCCCACGGCCATCACCACCCTGAACAGTTTAAAATAACAATTGAAGTCCCACCCAGATACACTGCTTTGTCGTATATCTTGTATAATGTCTATTGTGTTTTGTGTGTTCTTGTCTATTTTATTTCAGAGCTTGCCAAGGACAAATTTCTGTAACTTGTGACAGACAATCAATCAACCTTTTTATTTAGACTCCAGGTCCATTAAAAAAGACAAACATACAATATTTAAAAAAGACAGTCATACCAGTGTTTCCACATAGCAGACTGGTATCGTACAGTACTGAGGACAGGGTTAGTCAACATCATTATAATTGCATTACAAGAATTGTTAAGTCGACATATAAATTTGAATGTCAATCATCTCAAAAGAGCATGAAATGTGATTACTTGTACTTTATAAAAAAGTTCACTTGCACTATACCATCTTGGTTTCCCAAGCAAAATTCGCAGACAATCATTATACGTAACCTGAAGTTTGCGGATGCTGGCCTTTTTGAACTTAATCCACAAGGGCGCAGTATAAAAAGGGGTGCAGTAAGCCCTGAAAAGACTCACTTTAACCTTCTCTGAACACCAGGAAAATCTTCTGGTCAACAAATTTGCCTGCAAAACGCTGTCTGTTCATATCATCATCATCCGTCATATCATCAGTGATGATGTGTCCCAGATATTTAGTTTTAGAGCAAGCAGGGAGCACTTGTCCTGACAAGTAAAAAGATGGAAGAGCGAGGTCCTTATCCCCTTTTACTCTGCAAATCATAACAGAACTCTTCTTAGCGTTATAACTCACATCAATCAATCAATCAATCAATCAATCATCATCATCTTATCTTTTCTTATCCTATGTCTTGACATCTGCAAAGATCACACCCATGCTTACAGTAGGGCGTATTAAGTGTCACCGCCATTTATTTCTTTTGATCTGGTACCATTTCATTTTATACCTCTACAGCAAGTTATTGAAAAGGGTCAATAGCTCTGTTACATAAAAGTCATGAGCTTTTTATTTGTTCATATAAACACAGCAAGCGTATCGCTGTGAGAATCTTAATGGTGTTGACTCATGGGGTCAAAGGGCACACGTTACCACACAGGATGTGACACAGGCTGAGGCACAGGCTGACTAGTTCGACACTGTAGAGAGCAAACAATGCAGACCTATTTAAACGGGAACATGACGGTTGTAGCCTTTGAACCAGCGAGGCAAATGTAACTCATAAAAATGCAGATTAACCCTGTAATTAGTGTCATTATATCTTGCATGTGGTGTCTTTGGATTAATCACTCCCTTTGTAGTAATCCTAGAAGTGTACATTTTATGATTTGACTCCAAAACAATACACAGAGAGAGGCCTGTGTGTGACGTTTTTCAGATTTATGTGAACTAAAACCGGAAAAACAGACCTTTCCACATCAGTTGGCTACATGACAATAATAATAACTGTTAAATTAAATATTTTTTGTGGTACTCTCACAACAAAAAGAGAGAGACACAAATCAAAGAAAGAACTGTTTGGATTATAGAGTGTAAGGAACAAAAGAGGAAAGAGAGAGTATGATAAAAAGTAAAGTAGAGGTACAGATGTTTGCTTTGCGTGCTGCAACAAGGTGATTATTTTCATGTGTGTTGATTCAAACCACACAGATCACATTCTTTTCTGAAGGCTGACTTTTGTGTCACAGCACGTGTGTATACTTAAGTGACACGACAATGACAGATTATCATGGTGGGAAAGTGAGAGTTTAATGAGCCTGAACACACCCAACATACTGATGCCTTCAGCAGCAGGAAGTTCAGCATATTAAATCACGAATGCCTCGTGTAATGAAATCTGTTTGAATGTGTGCTTGTGTCTTCAGGGTGCATTCTGGGGCCTGATGGTGGGTTTGGTGGTGGGTGTGTGTAGGATGGTGGTGGAGTTTGCCTTCCCACCTCCCAGATGTGGCGTCGTGGACTCGGCGCCTACAGTCCTGCGCAGTGTCCACTACCTCCATTTCGCCATTCTGCTCTGTGGGCTCACTGCTATTGTGGTTACTATAGTATCGCTGCTCACACCACCTCCCAACCACGAACAGGTGTGTACACACAGATACAGTAAATAACATAAGTTTTAGGGAAGTAATGCGTACGTCAGTATTTTGCTGTTGGTACACCTCTAATTTTATCTGCTGAAGGGTTTAACTGGAGGTAAAGGCACAGATTAGAGCTGGAGGTTGACCTCCGTGTTACAAGACAATCAAAAAGGACATGCCTGTCTAAATCCAGAAGATCAACAGTCGACCAAAGAGCAAAATCTTACAGTACAGAAGACGTACTGTTGCACACAATAGCAAAACATACAAAATTAATCATATTTAAAGCCTGTGACACATTTGTCACATCTGACATCACTCTGAACTCAAAATGCAAACAGCAGCCTTTCTGATTAAATACCCTGTTTCAAGAGAATTAGTCAAAACTAGAAAACAGGGAGCGGACTTGTTTAACTTTCCCCGTATAGTGCACAGTCACCACACTGTCATCCATAACCTCCCTACATAAGCAGATTATGAGACAAGAGCCCCCAGGCCAAGACATGCAGATGGCCTCATCATCTTTCCAACATACTGTAGGAGCAAGAGACACAGACATTTGTGTTTAGCCTCTTTTTGTTGTTATTTTGTGTCTCATTGTAGTCGTTACACATCTCTCTGTGTCTCTTTGTGTTCACTTTAAGTCTCTTTGTAGTTGTTTTGCATCTCTGTAAAGTCTTTTTGTGGTCTTTTTGTTCTCTTTGTGGTGTTTTGTGTCTCTCTGTGGTCATTTTGTGTCTCTTTGTGGTCCCTTTGTGTCTCTGTGGTCATTTTGTGTCTCTCTGTGGTCATTTTGTGTCCCTCTGTGGTCATTTTGTGTCTCTTTGTGGTCATTTTGTGTCTCTTTGTGTCCCTTTGTGTCCCTCTGTGGTCATTTTGTGTCTCTTTGTGGTCTTTTTGTGTCCCTCTGTGGTCATTTTGTGTCTCTTTGTGGTCATTTTGTGTCTCTTTGTG